TTTAATTGCACTGACACTGTTTGATAATTGTACCATGTAAACCGCATTGAGTCGCCTGTTAAGGGCTGAAAAATGCGGTATAGAAATAAAGCAAATAATAATAATAATAATAATAATAACTCTGTTATTCCTTTTCACTAGCTAATGGCAAGGAAGCCGTGCTGCGCCTGAACCAACGCCTGGAGCCAGTAATAGGCTGGATGAGGGTAAACAAATAAAAACTGAATCCAGATAAGACATAAGTACTACTGGTCTCACATAGTATGGATCCAGGAACTGGATCCCAACTGGAGCTGGATGGGGTTACATTACCCCTGAAAGCTCAGGTTCGCAGTTTGAGGGTGGTTCTGGAGTCTTTAAACCTGGAAACCCAGGTGGCGGAGGTTACCAGGATTGACTTTGCACAACTTAAACTGGTGCGCCAACTGCTGCCGTTCCTGAAAAAAATTGACCTGTCAACTGTAGTACATGCCTTGGTTACATCCCGCCTGGACTACTGTAACGCACTCTATGTGGGGCTGCGTTTGAAAACGGTTTGGAAACTTCAATTTGTTCAAAGATCGGCAGGTAGGTTGTTAGCGCGAGTGGATATAAGAGAACCAAGTATCCCACTCCTGAAACAGCTGCATTGGCTCCCATTTAGTTTCCGGGTCTGATTTAAAGTACTAATTTTGACCTTTAAAGCCTTTCACAGCATCAGTCCAGATTACCTGAGACAACGGGTTCCTTTGTAAACACTGAGGAGATTGTTAAGATCAAGTGGGGAAATTCTGGTGTCCTCAAGCATCGGTGACAGTCTCCATTTGAGGATCACTAAAGAGGGGTCCTTCTTGGGAGTGGCTCCCTCTCTTTGGAATGCCCTCCCAGGGGAGATTAGATCTGCACCCTCTTTGTTGACATTCAGGATGAGCCTGAAAACCTTTCTTTTCAAAGAAGTATTCGGAGGAAACTAGTGATATCGGAAGGTTAGGAAGGCTCTTCGACTTTGTTACGTATTATCAGTGTGGTTTTCAATGTATTTTTTGGGGGTTTTAATTAGTGTTTCACGACATTTGCTAATATTTATGTTTTGGTTTCAACTGTGTATGTTTGTACTGAGTATAAGCCGCCTTCGGCCCTTGACTGGGGAAAGACGGGGTATACATTTCATAAATAAATAAGTGGATTGCCAGGTACTTCATTGATTCTTTAAAAGGGCCCGGCTTCATAGAGTACAACTGTGTACATACATTGCATTTACAGAACACCAGCCCATCACATGCTTGCGTATGCACATACATGCATTCACATTGATTCACAAAATTGCAAAACTGAGTGTCATAATAACTATTTTTTAAAATGTTTGCAGGTTCTATAAAAATTTGGAATTCGAAATCCAAAAAAGACCTCAGATTGGCTAGTTTTTTTCGCAACTTGCTTTCAGGACTCCGAGGTTGTACTATGTGACCGATGAAATAAGTGTTGGAATTTAGGAATGAAATTTGTGAAATAACTGTGTTGAATGACTTTTTTTGTTTGTTTTTCGAATTCAACACCCCAAAATGCATTAGAATCAACTACTATGTTGAAAAAATGTTGCAGACTTGTGATAGCACTGGCAACAATGCTGTGACTTTGCCTTTAATCTTGGTCAAAGCACATTTAGAGGTGAACTATAAATCCCAGCAACTACAACTCGCATATGTCAATGTCTATTTTCCCCCAAGAGTGCCTCAAGAGCACCCCTGGGCAAAATCAACTATACTGCAAAGGCTTACTTTGCGTAATGGGTTGAGCCACCCCTGTCCATGGACATATATATGTTCTTCAGTGTTATTTCAACCAACCAGTGTCCCTATTTCAGTCTCCGATAGCTATCATTCACACTCTTCCCCCACTGCAGGCCCGTAACCAGGATTTTGATTCGGGGGGGGGGGG